TGTCTTCGGGGTTGTGGCCAGAAGAAGACGGCAGCTCAACACAAGAAACATGGTTGTCACAGAAATATTCTTCCGGTGGACAGAAGCTTTCTTTGGCAGTTAATAGAAATCTTTTTTTTTTTGCAATTTGCAGACTCATCAGGAGGGTCTATGTGCGTTGGCACCGGATGGATGATCTGGATGGAGTAAGGGCACTGCAAGGGTTGTCTGCGGGATCGGGATCGGGATCGGGAGCTTCCCCCTCCCGACTCTCACATTGTGCGACATCTGAGGCGTCAAGCCGATCCGGATCGGGGGCGATGACGACGAGACTATTAGTAAGATGAGCGCCAGCGTCACCTCGCGCCCCCCGCCTCCCCAACCACCACCCCTCCACCACCAACCAAGACAACAAAAAACCGGGGGAAGTGGGGGGACCAGGGGAGCAACAAGAGGAGGGGGGGAGCGGGCGGGGGACAGGGGGGAGGGAAACAAAATAAAAATACCCCAATAATCCAATTACGACCTGTTGTTCAAAATAGTTTCGCCGTGATTTCACTATGGTCTTACATAGACTTTTTTCGTTTTTTTCTTGCAGTGATTCCACTCTCGATTGACAGTAACGAGGGGTAGGAGGAGGGGGGAAGTAGGGGAGGGTGAGGGGGCGGAGGGGGCGGAGGAGGCGGAAGCGGAAAGTGGGGGGGGAAAACAGACCAGAAACAGAAGGCGGTAAACAAACAAACACAAACAAACGGAAGGCGGCAAAGGGGTCAAGTCAAGAACAGGAAAAACGTGATGACCAAAAGAGACCAGCTACAGTGTAACAACCATAAATTAGTAATTACTAATAATCATAATAAATTAATAATATTTTTATTATAGGAAAAAATTACATAAACAACAACGACAACAAGAACACTGGTAATGATAAATAATCATTAAATGACAATAAGTATTAATAACAATGATAGCAAGGGAAAGAATAAGATTTATAATTTAAAAAATATGATTCATATCCCATCCGTGGTACAATAACAGCGATGCGGTCCGAGCAGGAAGAATAACCAATCAGCAGAGAACTCAGACAGGTCAGCACAGCACTCAGACTGCACAGCAGAGCACACTCAGCAATCAAACAGCTTACCACAGCGCTCAGACAGCTCCGCACATCGCGAGTTGATGAGCTCCCTTCTCCTCCTCCTGCTTCTCCTCCTCCTCCTGCCTTCTCCTCCTCCTGCCTTCTCCTCCTCCTGCTTCTCCTCCTCCTGCTGCCTTCTCCTCCTGCCAGTTTTGTTGGCTTTCCAATACCTGTGCTAGCTCTTGCCTAAGCAGAGGCCACGTCACACCTTTTCATCACATCGA